TTTATTTATTTATTTATTTATTTATTTATTTATTTATTTATTTATTTATTTATCCTGTTCCTTTCCTACATTTGACATCAACAAAAGTTTTAAATATCACAACTGATTTGGCTGTAAATGGAGAAACAGTACCGAAAAAAACAAAATTAAAAACCCAAAGGACAAACAGAAAATCCTAAATAAACCCTCAAGTTTGGTCTTGGGGTTTTACATATACCAATGACACAGGCGATCATAAACAGCGTAATTAACACAGCAAGGATAGCAGTACATGGTGCAGAGTCCCAAGATAACCCTGCCTAAACACCTTGTGGAGATCCTAATAGGTACTCTGGCCACACATTTTCACAATAAAATATCATGGTCCTCTCACCCATGTGTTCATAGTTGTAATCAGATCACTTATCCAACATGTGCCTCAGAGGACTTCAGGGATTGTTGAAACGTTCCCCATTTTTAAAGACAGAAATTCAAGACAAACAAAACACAAACTTCACACACAAATGCCAGCATCCAGACAAATGAATCAGTTCACAAATCGGGGAGAAGCCCAACAACTCTTTCCTCTCTCCAACAGTGTACCCCACTCAAATGCAAAACAAATTGGCTTATTCCAGAGAAAAAGCCCCAAACGGAGAGAAACTAAAGTTCCCAGCTGCACACACTGGAGTGACTTACCCTACTGTATTGGGCTCGCCAGCTCCCGAATGCCGATCCCTTGTTCCAACTGCCAAGCGCCGGGGTAGGCACTGCTACTTCAGAGAATTCTGAAGGGAAGATCCTCAGTACAAGTGGTCCCGGCAGATGCTAAGGCCTTACCTGTAAATTTTCCAACTGGGGCCGGCCACCCAACCTCTGCCTGGCAAGAGGCTGGAGAGAGAAACTCGGCAATGCAGCCCATTCCATAGTCTCTAACAGACTCTCCTTGCTAACGCCTAGCCTAAATCTCCCTTCTGGAATTTTACATTTCCTAGACTCAGTGTTACCGAGTCCAAGCTCATTCTGCTCACCACACGACAGACCAACTTGTTGGGGAAAGGAAGAGCGGCTTTATTCAGAAAGCCAGGGGACTGAGAAGACGGCAAACTCACACCCCAAAGAACCATCTTACCTGAGTTAGAACTTCGGCTTCTTTTATACTAAAAGGGGAGGGAGTAAAGTCAAACACTTCCTGGTTCCAGCCCGCCTCCAGAGGGGATGTGTTAATTTCTTCCTGCCCGCAGTCATTCACAGGTGGGCCTGGTCAGGATGTTTCCTAAGAGCTAAACAAAGGTTTTTTAGCTTAATGCTCATTACCTAGGAGGCAGGGTTCCCTGAGATGGGCCATTTTGTATAATTTAGCTTAAAGGCAACATCCCTTTAGTGATGAACTTGTAATGGAATACAAAATTTCTCCCCTGTTACATTAGCACTACCTTCTAGAACTGTATAAAAAAGGGCTGATCTCTATTCCACATGATAGTCCTTCAAATATTTTGTTAGCTGTTTACTTTCCCCAGCTCTAAGAAAGCAGCAGAGCAAGTTAGCTAAGAGTACCAGTTCTAGATAAGAATACTTGAGTTCAAAAATGTGCTCCTTCATTTACTAGCTGTATAAACTTGAGTGAGCCACTAGCCTCTCTAAGTCGGCTTTATCATCTATGAAATGGGGAAGCAGGGATAACAATGGTACCTACCTCCCAAGGTTTTTGAGAGGATTAAGTGAGATAACATATTAATTCTAGACATGTAAGTACTCAGTAAGTATTAACCATTGCTGTAGTGATGGTGATTGTACTTATTGTAAGGAACGGCACCAAAAACGGAGGAGAGCTTAAACAAGCTTTATTTGGGAACGCTCCCGGGCGAGGTTCACTGGTCCGAGAGAAAGGGGCCAGAGAAGTCGCGCCTGGGTGCGGGCCGCGAACAAAATTTATAGGGGTGGACGCAGGGGAGGTGCTTGCTGTGTGAAGCAGCCCTTTTTTGGTAATCTCTCGGTTTGGTAATCTTTGGGTGTTGTAGCAATGTCAGGTATCAGTTGCATCAGCCTCAGAGCCATTGGTTCCGCCCCTTGGGGAGCAGGAAGACCGGTCGGTTGCATCAGCCTCCTTGGCGGTGGTTCAGTCTGCCTCCCTGGGCCCTTCCCCGGACCTGCTGGCCTTATACTTATTACTACCACTATTGACTCTTCTCTCACCCCTGCACTTCTAATCCCTTCAACCATTTGTCATTTACTAGAAACCCGGTCATCTTGCTTGTACTTTAATATCGTCTCCAGAATTAAACAAAGGACCCCAGATGGGTACTGGCCCATGAAGAGTACTAGACTACGGCCCCTACTTCTATAAACACAGCCTGAAATTCCGTTGCTTTTTTCTGCAGCCACCTCACGTAGCTCTTTCAGACTGGGCTCAAGGTTAACCAAATCTCCCAGACCCTCCTTCAGTGAACTGCTTCCTCATTCTGTCCTTGTGGCATTTTGTTTCTGGCCAAGCACAGATATAAAAGTTCATTCTTGATAAATTTTTTTCTTATTGGGTTTGTTGAATATTCCAGCCTGCTAAAATCACTATGACTGTCCTAACTCTAGCACCAACTCTGAATTATTAAGACATCAAATGTATCAGCTTCCATTGCCAGCTCTGGTGTTTCCTGTCTTCATCCATGTCTTTGATAAAATGTTGACTAAAATAGGGTCAAGATCAAAGCTTTGTAATCCTCTACTGGTAATATTGCTGGATATTAATAGTTATTGTCATGTAATACCATTATAGTTTATAAGGTGCCTTTACTATACATAATCTAACTTAATCCTTATGAAGTAAATAGTGTTATTATCTTTATTTTACACATAAGAAATCTGTAGTTCAGAGAGTTTACATAACGTGAGCAACGTCTCCCATCTGAGAAGTGGTATATCCAGATGCAAACCAGGGTCCTCTGACAACAAACTGAGTTGTTCGATCAATTATGAGACCACTTCACCTTACGTCATCCACCATGCATTTTCCCTCTTTATCCTTAGGCAATCCATAGGACCTTTCTCAAATGACTTATTGAAATACAGATTTACTACCTTTATTATATTTTCCTCCTACTGCAAGGTGCCAACAAAGCACGGGGCGGGGGGGGGGGGGGGGGGGGGGGGGGGGAGGAAGCAGTTGCTGTTTATAATCATACCTACTTCTCTGAGTTATTATTTGGATTTGACTAGAACATGGATATGGTCTTGGCATAAAGTGGGTACTCACCAGTGGCAGTTCTTTTCCTTATCGTGGAAACTCTTCCCCATCATAACACTCTTCCGACAGGTACATGCGTAGGTGCTATTTATCCTCACTTATGGGATAAAGTGAGGATATCCTCCTTTTCTCATCAGAGCTCATCAGTGGAGCCTCTCTGTAATTAGACTTTTCGTTTATATGTTTGCTTTATGTATTTCTGTTTTGTCTGCCTTTCCCTTTTCTCTTGTTGGAATATTAGGATGATTTGTTTTCCCTAGATTTTTGCATGCCTCTTTGGCCATTACCACTCCCACCAGGGAATCATCCTTATATCCTCTGCATTTTTCAACACGCCAGTAAAAGCTCTAGGACACATGTCTGATGATGACCAGTATCTTCTTTCCTCACTGTGATAAATATAAAACGAAATAGTGACTTACTCCCAAGAGTGTAAATGACTAACTTCTACTTAACAAACCAGTTTGGGGGTTTTTGTTTGTTTGTTTGTTTTAGAATTACACTCTATTGGCTGGTCCCTGGCTCTGCCACTTAGGGTTCAGCCTTGACAATATCATTTATATTCTGAGTCTCACTACCTACAGCAGCAAAATAGGAATAGTAAAACTATCCAATGCATTGGGTTCTCAGGAGGATTAAATGAGATTATGTAGAACCCACAGCATCATGAAGGTATAAAATAAGTGCTTGCAAATGCCAACTATTATGAGCATAAGCAATTAATTAGAATGTCCTGAAAACGGTTTCATTCTTTGTTGGTCTGTCTCATCGAAGGTACAAGCACTCCTAAGGAAACAAATAGTTTCCTCTGTACATTCAGGGCACCAGCTGCTGTATTTGGAGGTGGGTCTGCTGAGTTCCCTAATAGCAGACCTCGCCTAATCTCCCCTGGAGATGAAGATACCCCCAATGGATTCAGCAGCCCACAGTCAGAGCTGCATACAAGAAAGACCCCAGTGAGGAATCTCAAGAAGGAAGGCAGCTCAGGGCCTTCTCAGAAGGGAGCAGCTGGGCAGACAGAGCTGAGCAGTTATCCAAAACCTAGGACTTTAAAAATACCCTGGGAGAGTTCACTCCATATGGGCTGGCTCTGTGTGTCCTGGAGCATTGGAAATGGGAGGGGAAGTCCCGTCTCCTGGAAGATAACACTAGATGGAAGCAGGGCGACCTCAGAATCCTCGTAGGCAGATCCTTGCATTCTGATCATGCAGCTTCTCTGGATGTTTCCTAAGCAAGAAATAGGTCAGGCTCTTTTCTGGGTCTCACCTCCAGAGTCTGGGCTCCCCTCTGTCAAAGGTCTGGCTGGTAGGCTGCCAGGGACAACACACTTCTTGGGTTTCCACTCAAGGACAGCAGGGCCCGGCCCTGACAATATGCTGGGGTACACAAACCCTGAACCACCGATGGATGACTCAGGCCCTACCTGGGAAAGATGAACAGTATGGTAACAAGAAACTGTCTGTTAGGCAATCATAAGCTTTTCCGAGCAAATTTCAAGCTCTTGCTGGAGAACTATTGAAAAAATGTGGGGAAAGGTGCATGTTGCCTAGTTCATTCTTGATCTGTGTGCTAACAGCCATGAAGCTTACGTAAGTTGCTTGTAATACAGTAAATGAAACTAACCAAACAAAAATCAAAATAGGGCTTCCCTGGTGGCGCAGTGGTTGAGAGTCCGCCTGCCGATGCAGGGGATACGGGTTCGTGCCCCGGTCCGGGAAGATCCCACATGCCGCGGAGCGGCTGGGCCCGTGAGCCATGGCCGCTGGGCCTGCGCGTCCGGAGCCTGTGCAAAAGGGACAAATCTAAACAGCTATTTTTCAGCCTGTTATTCAGCAGGTATGCATTCATAAGGCCATGCCAGGTGTGTTCAGTCAGGGCCCATTCTAATTGGTTGGCACCCTCTTCTAGTAGGTTGATTCTCCATTCTGATTGGTTGAGGTCTGCCTTGTGTTAGTTATTAAGTATTTGACTCTCACCAAAAATAACCAGTAATGTGGCACCCAAAAGATAAGTTGAACTTATCATACTCTTTCTCTCAAAAGAAAAACATTGAAAGAATTAGCCCTACAACCCAAAATTGTGGATCACAAAAAGCATGATTAAATAGAGGAAGTTAATTGATAGTAGGATTTTTTAAAAAGCAGACATATAAGACTGTAATTGCATCACAATCATGGTGTAGCATTACAGCTTTGTCAGGATGCTTTGACCAGTCTTGAATTCAGAACCATCTGTCAGCTACAGACTGTGTGAGCCTCCACCCTATTTGAGATCTTCTCTTCTTAGATATCCAAGGGGTCTCCTAATCACTTCACCTGATTCCTCACATTAACCTCCCTCCCCCCAATTTAAGCTGCTTTGAATGAGTCTCTATTTAACCTAAGAGACAAGCTAAAACTGTAACATAATGTATAATTCAGAATATTTGTCAAGCCATGACATCAATATTTTATCAAAAATGTTCATACCAATATTTTCATTAAATACACACACACACACACACACACACACTGTGTCAGTGCAGGAATAGGCCTAATATATTAAGAACAGATGAGCAATCTAAAAGCTAGAGACACGTTTTTTTCCATAAGATGGCTTTAGTAGCACTTAATTGTCTTTAACATCATTCAAACAATTTTGTTAGATTGTATGTGACAGCTGTCATATCCATGTGCATTTTTAAAAAACTTATAAAAATTGGTGAATTTTTGAGTAGCCATTAATATTGAAGATGGGAGAAAAAAAGCAACATTTTTGGCATATTATGCTTTATGATTTTAAAAAAGGTAAAAATGCAACAGAAATGCAAAAAAAATTTGTGCAGTGTATGGAGAAGGTGCTGTGACTGATCGAACGTGTCAAAAGTGGTTTGCGAAGTTTCGTGCTGGAGATTTCTCACTGGACGATGCTCCATGGTCGGGTAGACCAGTTGAAGTTGATAGCGATCAAATCAAGACATTAATTGAGAGCAATCAACGTTATACCACGCAGGAGATAGCTGACATACTCAAAATACCCAAATCAAGTGTTGAAAATCATTTGCACCAGCTTGGTTTGCTAATTACTTTGATGTTTGGGTTCCACCTAAGTTAAGTGAAAAACACTTTCTTTCCGCATGCAATCTTCTACTTAAACGTAATGAAAATGTTCCATTTTTAAAACAAATTGTGACAGGTGATGAAAAGTGGATAGTGTACAATAATGTGGAACAGAAGAGATCGTGGGGCAAGCGAAATGAACCACCACCTACCACACCAAAGGCCGGTCTTCATCCAAAGAAGGTGATGTTGTGTATATGGTGGAATTGGAAGGGAGTCCTCTATTATGAGCTCCATCTGGAAAACCAAACGATTAATTCCAACAAGTACTGCTCCCAATTAGCCCAACTGAAAGCAGCACTCGACGAAAAGCATCCCGAATTAGTCAACAGAAAACGCATAATATTCCATCAGGATAACGCAAGACCACATGTTTCTTTGATGACCAGGCAAAAACTGTTACAGCTTGGCTGGGAAGTTCTAATTTATCTGCCGTATTCATCAGACATTGCACCTTCAGATTTCCATTTATTTTGGTCTTTACAAAATTCTCTTAATGGAAAAAATGTCAGTTCCCTGGAAGACCGTATAAGGCACCTGGAACAGTTCTTTGCTGAAAAAGATAAAAAGTTTTGGGAAGATGGAATTATGAAGTTGCCTGAAAAATGGCAGAAAGTAGTGGAACAAAACAGTGAATACGTTGTTCAATAAAGTTCTTGGTGAAAATGAAAAATGTGTCTTTGGGTTTTTTTTACTTTAAAAATGAAGGCAATTTTTGGCCCACCCAATAGAATTTACTCAGTTCTCTTGAACTTATGTCTTAACAGATGATATTGAGCAGTGGTTCTCAAACTTCAGTGCCCATCAGAATCACCAAGAAGACCTTGTTAAAATGCAAATGTCTAGGCCTTATTGCCAGAGTTTCTGATTTGGTAGGTCTGAGAAAGGGCTCAAGAATTTGCATTTCCAAAAAGGGTCCAGGTGCTACTGGTGCTGCTGGTCTGTGGACTACACTTTTAAGAACTACTGATGTGGAAAGTTCTCAGAGCAAGTTCATGTTTATGTTGGTCTGTATTTATGTTTCTCATCTTTAGAGAGTCATCAGCTCTGTGGTCACTCATTACTTTACAACACTATGTCATCTGTATTCCCAGAGTTAGATGATGAGAAGCTGATATCCAAGATCAAGGAGAAGGTTATAAAGGAGCCATTTCAGTAATAAGGATTTTTCCTGGAAAAAAAAATGATAGCAGGGAGATTTGAGGGTTTCCAGTTACTTCTCCAGTACTTACTGTGCTATAAATAAGCAGCCTTAAGTATACAGTTGGGATCTGACAGTATTTCTTTAATAAACTACACTGGGAAAAGCTAATGATGGTGGGCCACAGATGTTTCTAATATTTAGGTGGTCATTATCACCAGCAGTACATCTCTAATTCACATCAAATGAAATTTCACAGCCCAGTGATGGCCCATTTTTTAATAGATGCAAAACCAAAAAACAACAATAACACTAATTACTGCCTAGACTTGATATAGCTCTCCATTTTGTCAAATTGTGAAATTCCCACATGCATTCACTTTGCTCAGTCACACAACTTTTCTGTGAATTGAGTCCACGTCCTGGTGCTTCTTCACTCAACTAATGTTTATGGAAAAACAACAAAAGTTAGGACCTGTGCTCTGTGGGGAAGCCAAAGGTGTTCAGGATATGGTGGCTTCAAGGAGAAAAGGTTACTGTAGAGGAGAGGAGACTTCTGCAGAAATTACTGTGACAGCAAGAAGTGGAGCAGAGCAAGTAGCTGAGGACTCAGAAGAGAGTGGAGTCACTTTTTGGTTGGAGTGATCAGAGAAGGTTCTATGAAGAAAGTGGTAACTCAGCAGGATTTCAAAGGTGGACTTGGGTTTTGACAGGCATATGGGAAGAAAAGCAAGGACAGGGAATTAATTCTAAGTGCACCAGAGGCAAACTAGCTCAGAGTATATCCCATTGATAGTGAGTTAAGTAGTTCATTGCTCATGTAAGATCCATGCACAGGAGTAGTGGGAGAGGAGATTAGAGGTGAGAAAAAAGGGGGTGTAAATGCTAGATCAAGGATTGAGAGTTGATTCAGTAGACAACGGCAGCACATTGACTTTTTTGAACAAAGGAATAATATGATCTGGAATTTACCTTTATCACATTCATGAATGGCCAATGACAAAGGAAGAAGAGTTAATGGAAGCAGTGAGATGACTCAAGAGGTGTACTAGTATAGGACTGACCCACGAGTGTACTAATCCAGGCAAGACCCAGGAGGCACCCATGGGAACAAAAAAGTGGGGTATAAATAAAGGAGAGACAAAATATGGTAACCGATTGTATAAAGTTTAGGTTTTGAGAAGAGTGTTGGTACCATTAACCAAAATAGAAAAGTCAGGGGGACTGGTATGTTGCGGAGTTGGGGAAGAAAATGATAAATGTAAGTATAGATATGTTAGGCTTATACTTCTGTAAGTAAAACCAGATGGAAATCTTAAAAGCAGCTGGAGAAGTGGGGACTGAGCTTCAAAAGAAAGTCAGAATAGGCCAGCTTATGCTGCCATAACAAGCAGCACTAAAAATCCTAGTGACTTGAAACAGTCGTGCTTATTTATAACTCACACACCGTGGCCACCGCAATTCCGCAAGGAGACCCTGCTCATCAGGGATGCAGTTTCATGGAGGATCCATTTCTGTGTGTTCTCAGTGATCATGGAGACTGGGCAAGGGGAACATGGACACCCAGGAGCCAGTTAGAAAGCTGAGCAAATTTTAACCTAGTGTTAATTTGTGCTGCTGCTTGTGCACGATAGCAGCAGTAGTATCTCTCTCGGAAATAAACATCCCATATTATGATGTCTATGAATATAGGTTTCCTTTTCTACCCTCCCTCCCTCCTTCCTTCCCTCCTTTCTTTCCTTCTTTCCTTCCCTCCTCTTTCTTTACTTTTTTGGAAATCACTTATTGTATATAAGTTGTAATCCAGACCTCATGTATCAATGGGGAACTTTCAAATACAAATATTACCAATTAAAAAAAAAAAAAAAAAACAACTGCTGCCCGGAAATGTCACGTGCCTCTTTTCCCCTCACATTTAATTGGCAAAAGCAGGTCATGTGATCATCCTTGAGATCAGGAGAATGTGGATAAATAATCCTATATGTGCCTAGGGCAGAAGAACTACCATCTGTGCAACTGCTGTTCTGACTCCCATATGCATCATCTAAGACTGAGACCCTTGATGAAGACAGAGCAGTAGATACCGCCTTTGATGTAAAGAGGAGAGAGAGTGGAAAGCAAAACTCTAAGGACAGAAACTTGAGGAATACATAGGAAGAACACATACTTACAGAGGCAAAATAAAAACGCATAGAAAAGCAAAGGGCTCAGTTTACTAGGGCCACATTCACAAGAAGCATCTCAGGAAGGTTCCTCACTACCAAATCTGGAGATGAGTCAACAACATCCAAGGCCAAGGAAAGACCACTGAGTCTGACCTTGAAGGAGACATGGCTGACCTTCAAGAGATCTGCTTCATGGAGGCGATGGGGTCAGATATGAAGCCAGACTGAGGAAGGAGTGATTGAAAGTGGAGACAGAACACTGGACTGCTGAAAAAAGGAAGGGAAATAAGATGCCCGCTTGAGGTAGCAGCAAAATCAAAGCTGCTTTGCTAAATGAAGTCTGGCAGGTTTTTATGTGTTCATTCAGCACATGTTTATTGAACATTTACTCTTGCCAAACACTGTTTTAGGAGCTGGGGAGTGAGCAAGATAAGCTTTCTGTTCCCATGAAGCTTATCTTCTAGTGGAAGCAGACATACAATAAACAAGTGAGCAAAGGAATCAATGAGTGAAAGAGATCATTTCCAATTATATTTAGTTCTGATAAAACTAAATAAATTATATTTAGTTCTGCCTTCTCTTATAGAAGGGAGTCACAGGGTGGGTGGGGAGTATGGCCTGAAGGGTATGTCCTAGACTAGTCAGGAAAGGCATCTCAGGAGGGGATGCTAAAGGATAGCGTCCTTTAGCATGTTGCCTCCTAAAGGACAAGAAACATCAGCTAAGGACAGATTTGGAAACAGTGTTCCACAGCAGGCAGAAGCTCTGAAGGAAAGATCAAGTTCTCATAAAAAATGGGGATTAGAAGAAACATTTTAAGGGACTTCCCTGGCAGTCCAATGGTTAAGACGTTGCCTTCCAATGCAGGGGGTGTGGATTCGATCCCCGGTCGGGCAGCTAAGATCCCACATGCCTCCTGGCCAAAAAACCAAAACATAAAACAGAAGCAATATTGTAACAAATTCAATAAAGACTTTAAAAATGGTCCACATCAAAAAAATCTGTTAAAAAAATTAAAAAAGAAGAAGAAACATTTTAGCTAGCTGGTTGTGTGTGTGTGTTTGCATGTAAATACTTACAGCAAATGAAGGTCTAGAAGAAATTTGCCTCTCAATGCACAGGATTCATTGGTTTAGAAGGACACGCCTTCTCCTGCAGGCAACCTACCACAGAACCTGCTTCAGTTGCTTGGGGAAAATTGCTGCAGGGTAGAGATCTGCTGAGGCAGATTCTTTTGCTTGGTGTATTATATTGTGAAGAACGTTTCTTTTTAAAGCTTTTGAACCAGGCTTCTCATGAAAATGCCTTTTATATTGGTACTTGCATTCTCTCCAGTTTCAGTCTTGCAAATTTTAGTCAAACGTTTGTATAAGGTCGACCTTTCTCACATGTGACTGTGGGTATAGGGAAGGTTTTCCTGGGCCTGCTCATGGATTTTTTAAAAAGAGAAGCTTAAACAAATCTCTGCTGAACTCTATGATCAGCCCCACTGGTCTTAGGAGGGCAGTCATCACGGCCATTATGATCTGAATTAAACCACCACTGGAAAAAAGTACATATATTTTAAATCGGGGTATGCCAGTGTGGTGGGATGATCTGCTAAAAGATTAATTTGTGTTAACTTTTTTCTGTTTATTCATAATATTTGTTTATTGTCCCCACTGCCCTCCCCTGCTATAACATAAGTTCTACAAGGGCAGGAATATCTGTGTGTTTTGTGCACTGATGTTTCCTCAGTTCCTAGACAGTGCCGGGCACAGGGGAGATACTCAGTAAGTACTGGGTGAATTCGTGTTTCTTCTTTGTTGTGGGACCCTGGCAGGAAGGAAGGTTTTTCTTGGGCCAGTGCCAGAAGGTAGCCAAGTTCCTGAGTGAGGTGTTCTGTCCACCTCGAAAGCCCTACTCCCAACGTGTAGAGAAAAGCCTCTGCTCAGAACAGCAGGCTGGAGATCAAGGGGGACAGAGGTGTGAGGACAGGGTCATGAGGACAGGATCAGACCTTCCCTGAGTCTTTGAGCACCAGGGATAGAGGGTGTCTCTTGCAGATTGCCAAGGAGGAGGCGCCCCGACTGCATTCTGAGGGGAGAGGGCTAGAATGTACTCTTCTGATTTACATAAATTCAAAACTTCCAAAAGATATCTTAAAGGCCAAAATGGGATGAGAGGGTGGGGAACGTGGCCACAGTCCACATGTACTTTTTCCTCACATGCTTTGGGTATGGGGCAGAGTGTAAGGGCTTTCCAGTCATTTTGTCACCCCAGTCTCAAGACCACCCTGGGGGCAGGTATAAGTGCAATCTCCATTTCGTAGGCAAGGGGACTGCAGTTTGGAGGATGGTTGAACCTGGAGCTGGTGGTGGCTAGTGTGGCCTGGAGAGGAAGGGCTAGAGCCACCGTAGTCAAGGACTCACAGAAGGGTCGTGAGCATGATCTCAGAGCTGTGGAGACTCACCCCAGAACAGGGAGGTCGCCCCCAGTGATGAGTGTGGAGGCCAGGGGCATGGCTTAGAGACAGGTGGGGCAGGTAAACTTGACTGTGGCCTTGGATCCCTGCTCGGTATTTCACATGGTGGCTTCGTTTTAATATGCCAGCAATTTGGGGAAATCTTGGCCCAGGAGGTTTCAGAAGACAAATTCTGCTTTCAGTACATGCGTTGATGGCGGGAAGTTGGCTTCAAGCAGAGCTCAGCAAGGGCAGCAAAGGTGCGGGTCAGAGAACCCCAGCCCCTGTGTAGCCATGCTGTGTTCACAATCCCGGTTCAGTCCCACACTTCCAGTAGGAGAGAAGGAAAACAGAAGAGGGTAAGTGAATGCCCAAAGCCACTCTGCTAAATCTAATTTAAAACAGAAAAATCACCAATGGTCATTTTGGAAATGAGACCCTTTCCTTGCAGAGCTGGGCGGGGTCAATAGCACCCTTCAAGAGAGAGAAAAGCTCATCATTCCCCGGGCCTTCCGTGAAGCATCCTCTCGCCCGTGGGAGGCCAGGATGGTGTCTGATTTTCCACCTTTCTGCTCCAACAGGCTGGGCACAGGGTCCTCGTTAGCAGAGAAGGGTGCAGAGGAGCTTGGTCTGCATGAACCTGTATTCTCCTGGCCTAGGTCACAGCCACGTGCCCCCTTCTCCCAGTGTCCTGGGGTCCCAGGAAATGTGCCAGGCAAATTCAGGGGGCTCTGACTTAGGGTGTGGGCTTGGGTCCATTCTTTTTTTTTTTGAAGATGTTGTGGGTAGGTGTAATGTTGTGTAATTTATTTATTTTTGCTGTGTTGGGTCTTCGTTTCTGTGCGAGGGCTTTCTGTAGTTGTGGCAAGCGGGGGCCACTCTTCATTGCGGTGCGCGGGCCTCTCACTATGGCGGCCTCTCTTGTTGCGGAGCACAGGCTCCAGACGTGCAGGCTCAGTAGCTGTGGCTCACGGGCCCAGTTGCTCCGTGCCATGTGGGATCCTCCCAGACCAGGGCTCGAACCCGTGTCCCCTGCATTAGCAGGCAGATTCTCAACCACTGCGCCACCAGGGAAGCCCGGGTCCATTCTTTTGTCTTCAGTCTCTTTTCCTTGTCCTCCTCAGGGCTGACCTGAAGGCTCAGCATCTCCAGGGCCAGCTGTGTCGCTCCTGTTCTTGGGCAGAAAACCCGCTGCTGTTTGGTGACTGACACTAGCAATGGCTGTGGGAGGAGACGTCAGACTCGGGCTTCTGACGAGACGGCCAAGGGTGTTTTGTATCTTCTGCTCTGTGAGCACAGTGTGTACTCACAGCGCTAAAGCCCTGTGTCAGATGGATTCCCGCGTGCGACTCACGCTCGGCTGGTCGCTCCTGCAGAGAGGAGCGTCAGTAGGGACGTTGGTCCCAGAGAATCTATTTCCATGGGTTTGAAAAGCTACGGGGCTCTGGGAGCATTTGATGATTGAGAGAGATCAACACCATGTTTGCACCTTTTCGATTCCCCCCTAGACAACCTGAACTAATATGTGAGAACAGAGAAAAATTGTTTCCCAGGGAGACAATACTCAGGGTCAGATGACCCTGGCAGCCCCTCCCTCCTCTTTTCTATCTCTCCAGATCCTTAGGGCCAGCACAGTGTCGCCTCTAGGAAACATCCTCTGACCTTTATTAACTATGAAGATTTCTCTCTTCTCTCAGTTCCGATGCTACCTGCTATTTCAATTCCATTCAGCCTACGTTTACCAATCTCCTACTTTGTTCCAGGCCAATGAAAACGACAGTGACACCATCCTACCCTCTCGGGGACTTGGAGGGGAGATAGGAATTCATTACCGCATCATAGTGCATTAATATACACTGCCTTAGAGTGTTTATTCAACTCAGCTGCATGTGTATATATTTATATTACATAGATATAGATATTGATATATAATTGGTTTTCCCATAAGACTAAGCATTTTGAGCATAGGGGATGTATGTCGTACGATCATTCCCAGTGTTCAGGGTATAAAGCAAATGTATAATAATTCCTTTTAAAATTGAAGGGAAATGAATTTGAGGTGGTAGAGCCCTATGGTCAGAGCATCTTCTGGAAGAAAACCAGCAAGTTATTCATGTTTGTTACAACTAAGCATTCATGGTTGGTTTCACTTGCACTTTTTCCGCTTGAAAATAACCCTACCACTTACGCAGTTAGAACAGAACAGAATCCTGCTGCTGATCTCAGGAATACCTTGCAGGCTGATTATTTCCAGGCTTATCTTTTCAAGGCAGCCAAACAGGCCAGTAAGGAGCAATGAGGGATACTCATAAAAGGAAAAAAATTAAGTGGGATCCTTATCCCATATCATACACAAAAATAAATTCCAGGTAGATTAAAGATCAAGATGTAAAAAGAAAACCTAGATAATTAGAATATCTCTTTGTAATCTTGAGATAAGAAAGGCCTTCCTAAACAAGACAAAACAAAACCCAAAAAATTCAGGAGGCATAAAAAAAGAGATTGACAGATTTGAGCTTATAAAATTTAAAACTTCTCTAGTAAAGAAAGAAAAAAGTCTTTTTTTTTTTTAAGCCACCAAGTTGGAGACTATTATCCGCATAGATGGAGATCAGTAAGAAAGGTGAATTTTTTAAAAAAGGATAATCTAAAAGAAAAAAAGCATTTTAAAATGACATAAACAGAGAACTTATAAAAGTTTACAAATGGCCAATACAGGATACCTTTATTTTTGTCTCTTAAGGTAAGCTATGCTTTTATTGCTGTTAGTCTGTTTTTGTCTCCATCATAGCGAAATTCATTTTGTAATATGATTTCACAAAATATAGCACCATTCTGTTATTAAGATCTTTTGGAAAGAAGTGAAGAATTTTATCTTTTGGAGATATTTTACCTCTTTGCAGTCATCTAGAATCCATCTAGAATTTCCTCTTCATGACCTAGAAAAGAGAGGAAAAGTTCACCAGGGCCTCAGCTTTGAGAAGCCACAAATGGAAAATAAAAGTCCTGGAGCATCATCACCATGGCAGCGCCTCCTATTCATTGCCAAAAGTGAAGCCTCTTTGACTGTCACAGGGATCCAGCATTCTCAACAGAGATGAGCTAAAAGTGTGCTCCTTAGTGGCTTGGAGTAAACAAAGAGTTTATTTTGGCACCAGTGATGGTTCAGACCTGTCTCATTCAAAGGCAAGCTGACTTCAAATCACACATAAAGATAGGATGCCATTGTATCCTCGGGCATCAGAGGCCTAAACACACTCACTTTCTCATCATCTGACCCCATTTCAGGGATAGTCACTTCTATAGCCGTGTGTTGCCTTGGTCACCCGGGCACACAGAGCTAAAGAAGAACTAGGAGAAATATATTTATATATCTATGAAAAGGGCTGTCAGGAGAGCTGAGAAGAGAGATTCTGAGAATTGGAAACCGACTTTGAGAGAAACAGGAACAATGGTAACTCAGATAATGAGCTATGAAGGTAAAAGTGCAACTTTGCTGAGTGTGATTGGAAAGAGAACTAAGAAGTGGATCAAGAAGGGTCGGGAATGTTTGTTAGTCATATGCCTGAGGTTGCTAACATCAGCTTTTTCTAACTCCCTGCCAGGGCTCAAGTGCTGGCAAAGTCAGTAGCACAGGGAAGCTGCCCTGTCATCCTCCCAGCCTTCCTCTTCCCTCCCTTGTGTGGAAACCATGGCATCCAAAAATTATTGCTGGCGTGTCTGGAATTCTTATTTTTCTTTCTTTTTTTTTGCAGTTCGCGGGCCTCTCACTGTTGTGGCCTCTCCCACCGCGGAGCACAGGCTCCGGACACGCAGGCCCAGTGGCCATGGCCCACGGGCCCAGCCGCTCCGTGGCATGTGGGATCCTCACGGACCAGGGCACGAACCCGTGCCCCCTGCATCGGCAGGCGGACTCTCAACCACTGCGCCACCAGGGAAGCCCTGGAATTCTTAATGAAACTTTTCTTATTTACCTTAACAAGGTGTCAGATGCTAAAACAGGTATCCCACTCGTGCTCCTACCTCATGAGTGTAAATATATTGGGCAAATCCTTGTCTGTCTTATTTTGCTGTTGCTGCCCTAGTATGAATGAACTCATCCTTCTTTCCTACTCCTTCCATATCTTCTTCAGCATAATAATAACTGCTCAGTTGTTTATATTCATAAACATGTATATATAATATATGTTATTTAAATATGTACATGATTATATATTTTAGGGTGTGTTTTGTAATATAAAGTATACACATTATGTGTGGTTTAGAGAGCATTGTGGTGGTGACCTGGTGCAGAACAGCTGCAGGAATCCAGGAAGGTAAGTCAGCACAATACAGAAGCAAGTAAACCCTGGGAGCATTGTGTGCATCCCACTGGTCTAGAACACTAGTGCCCAGGGGGATGGATTCAAAGGGGGGAGGCAGATCAAAGGCCACCACAAGTATTTATAGGTTTTGAAAAGAGTTACACCCACAGAGGAAAGTGAAATTAGAAACGCAGGAACCATTATGGCACTCAGAGACAAACAACAGGGACAACTGTCTGTCTTGACCTTAGACAAGTAACCCCCTCTCCCAACCCAAGAACTGTCACTTAGGTGACTCTTGGCTGTTGTTCCCCCATTTGGCATAAGCAAACACTAGTCATGCTCTCAACCCAGGCCTTAATTTTCACTGATAGAGTTGCAACAAATATGCATTTACAAAAAAAAAAAAAAATCACAAAAGAGAAAATGAAACAATATTTCATGAATAAGAGTCAGAATAAAAAATAAAGACCAGAACTACAAAGACTTCAAATATTGGGATTATGAAATATAGAATACAACCTGTTTAAAGAAACAAAGTAGGAATTAAAGACACTAGTAAGGAGCAGCAGGTATCAAAGTGATAATGTTCAGATGAAATTTGAAAAATATCCAAGTAGAACTTATAGAAGTAAAGACTATCATAAATGAAATATAAAATACTAATCAATGGGTTAAACAGCAGTTTGGACATAGCTGAAGAGAGAATTGGTGAACTGGAAGATAGGTCTAAATAAATTACATGGAAGAAAAGGTGTCAAAAGAGATAGAAAATATGAAAGAATGGCTAACAAACATTTAAGATAGAGTAAAAATGCCAATATACATCTAATGAGAGTTATAGAAGAAGAGGACAAAGAGAACTGGTAAGAAGCAGAATTTTAAAGCAAATGAGACTGCCCCTTACTAATGTAAAATGTTAATAATAGGGGAAATTGGGTGTGGGGTATATGTACTACCTTCTATCTTTACACTATCTTTGTGCTTCTGTAAACCTAAAATTGTTTTAAAATAAAAAGTTGATTAGCATATCTCCTCTCCCAGAGAGAGAGAGAGAGAGAGTGAGAAATTTTCCAAATACTATGAAAGACACAAATCTTCAGTCAGGAAGCCCTATGACTTCCAAGCAGAATAACTAAGAGGAAGGTAGACAAAAGAACGTACTTAGACACATCATAGCAAAACTGCAGAAATCAGAGGCAATGACATCTTTAAGACAGCCAGTGAGAAAGGAAAGATAACCACAAACAAGTGATAATTAGACTGACAGCTGACTTAGCAGCAACAATGGAAGTCAGAAAATTGTAAGACAATATCTTCAGTATGCTCAGGTAAGATAGTTGTCAAGCTAGACAGATATACTTAGCAGAACTACTTCTCAAGAACAAAGGCAAAATAAAGACATTTTCAGATAAACACTGAGGACGTTGACCTCCAAACGCTTACTAATTGAAATTCTAAAGTCTATACTATAAAGAGAGACAGAAAGAGAAAGAGAGGGAAAAAAAAAGAATCCTCAGTAGGTCTGAGATACAAGAAAGAAGGGTAGGTAAAATTTTTTTAAAATTCTGAATTTGGAAAAATCTTACAATGATGTTATAAAAAATAATATCTAGATTATGAGGTCAAAAAACAATGTTCCCCTTGAAAACTGTAGGGGAATCCTTACTTGTCTACACGGCTTCTGGTAGTTTGCGGGCAATTTTTGGCATTCCTTGGCTCGTAGATTGCTCCTTCTAGTCCTCCATGTTCACGTCATCTTCCTTCTCTGTGTGTCTCTCTGTGTCCAAATTTCCCCTTTTTATAAGGACATCGGTCACATTTGATTAGGACCCACCCTAATAACCTCATTTTAACTTGATTACCTGTGTAAAGACGCTACGTCCAAATAAGACCACATTCTGGGGTTCTAGAGGATAGGATTTCAAGATATTTGGGGGAGGGAGGGGGAACAAGTCAACCCGTAACACAATCCCAATTCTAACTGGTGGTTTTAAACTCCGGACTTCACCCTTGGTTCTAGTTGCTACTGCCTCTTTCTTTTCCACCTCCCATCCTTTCAAACCTCCAAAGCCAGTGGTGCCCATGGTTCCATGCTCCTACACTGCTTATTATGGGCTAATTTGTGTCCTCCCTAAATTCATATGTTGAATCCTAACCCTCAGTACTTCTGAGTGTGATTGGAGATAGAGCCTTTAGAGAGGTGATTAAGTTAAAATGAGGCCAATAGGATGGGCTATAATCCAATATGACTGATGTCCTTATAAAATGAGGAAACTTGGACACACAGAGAAACACCAGAGAGATGCACAGAGGAAAGATCTTGTGAGGACACAGTGAGAAGGTGGCCATCTGTGAGCCAAGGACAGAGGTCTCAGAAGAAGCCAAACCTGTTGGCACCTGCCCTTGGACTTCCTTCCTCCAGAACTGAGAAATAAATTTCTGTTGTTTAAGCCACCGAGTCTACGGTATTTTGTTCTGCAGCCTGAGCTGACCAATCCACTGCTCAAAGCCCCTCCTGGCTGCATCTGGCAATGCTCCTGAGCACTGTCCCCAGGCCTAACTCCCTCCCCCACTCTGTGGGCTCTTCCTTGTCTTACATCTCAGTGTGTGAAGTCCATCTTCTCAGCTTAGGTAGGTGGCATGGCCACCCCCAGGGTTACGCTCCCAACACTGTCCAGTGTGACCTTTGATGTCACAGCCCCTGTGGCTATGATGAGGGGCGATGGGAGCAGACGGAAGGAAGGATTCCAGCAGCTGCTTTGAGACTATTTATGGGCTCAGAGGATGTGAAAGAGGATCACGTGAACATCAGGCAGCTTGCTGAAGGAGAAGCGTGACTGAAAAGTTCCATTGAGGCTTGAAACTCGTTTATTCCTGTAGGTCCAGCAATACAGAAGGAAGGAAGCCGGCCCTTCTAGCCTCTTCTACCCCCACGTTGTCATCAGGCTCTGGATTTTTCCTTCCTTGGATTTCTCCTGGAAACAGCTCCCTTTACTTGGTGGATATCCAGATGTTCCCCTACCCCATGGGTCTTTCCTTCCTCTTCTGGTTCTCCACTTGTTTCCTGGCCTCTCCTGCATAACAAGGGTTAACACAGTAAAGAGCCTTGAGTGTTGAAAAACTCACTGCTCTGGGCTCCGTGGACACAGCTGTGGTCAAGGTTGACATCAGGAGTTTACATTCTTGTGCTCTGGAGACCGTAGGTAAACAAACAAACAAGAAAACTTTGGGGGAGTCGTGCTGAGAATCAAGATGGGGAGATGAAATGGCAATTGATCCGGGATGGCTTTAGATCAGGTGGTCTTTGGTGCAGCTCTTGGGGTTGGGGAGCCGTTGACAATTTATGATCGACAGTACTCTTACTCGAGCTGTGAAAGCACCAGATACACAACAGAGTTCTGCCCTCTTGGCTCTAAGTTACAAACAAGTAAATGTTTGCTTATCTATACCAGACAGAGCGGGTAACCAGACCTGGTTAGAAAGTGAATAAAAAATGCTCCCAGGTCCCATTTCCTTTGTCTATTTAAAGGGGATTTTTAGCCATCTGGAAGTTTTCTTATCAGACATTTGATAAGGAAAAGGGATGTTTTGAAAGGTTGTTACCCAAGAACACATAAACCAGGAGAAACATATTTAACCTACCCTGGTACCTTCTTGAATTCCCAGACATTGAAGGACATTTAAAAGTGACTCGGGATCCCAAAGCCAGGCACTGTCCCTTAGGCCCCAGCACTAAGTCCAGGGGAGCCCTTTCAGATGGGTACACTTTTGCCAAGGGTCTGAGGGCAAGGGCATGCAGCATCCCAGGTCTTACAGACACGCCCCGTGGAGCTCTGTGGCAGCACTCTGTGGGAGGGGCGCAGCGGAGGGGGCTGGGGGCCATATGGGGAGCATAGGTGGTGCCAGGAGCAGCTGGAGCCTCAAGGCCTCCCCCCAACCTCCCCCGAAAATGGCAGGAGAGAGCACTTGGCTCTTATCGCTGGTGCACCGATGTTCATTCCAGGGCCAACACACTGACCTTCAGCTCAGGAAGTGACTTCTTAGTCAATTGCTTCTTTGGAGGGACCTGCCAGGATTTGAAATGAAGCAGCAGTTCTTGTAACATCCAGTCATAAATCTAAATCTTTTTTTTTTTTAACTGAAGCAAAATAGTGAGATAACTTGACGTTTTGCATGCTTAAATTTAGAACAGATTATAGCAATTGAATACCCACATCATAAGCTGCTTCATTTGAGCACAACACACGTACCCAGGCTCAGCTTCATGTGATTTGAGTCTCGAGAGTGATTCTTCTTCTGCCAAAGTTTTTAAATCTTAGGATGACTAGTAACTTTCAGCCCGAGGATGAGGCCACCTGATCTCCAGTCCTGGCCCTCACTTGGTTGAGCAAAGGTGCCTCTCTGGGCCTCAGGAAACCCCTCTCTGTGGTGTGCACACACTGTGTGGTGTGTACACACGGTGTGGTGTGCAACGCCCAGCTCTTATGCCCAAAGGGTATCATCCCAGATGACCAGAGATAGTCTTTGGGATGATGTGAGTAGAGAGATCTATGAGATTATATTATGAATCTATGGCTAATAATGGCTATTAATAATAGATGCCACTCACCCAGTACTTCTCACGTGCTGGGCACTGTTGGAAGCACACTTTGTTTGTCTTAATTGCCCTAGTTCTCATTCCTCATTTTACCAATGAGGAAACTGAAGCCCAGAGACGTTAAGTAACTTGCCCAAGCTCAAACAGCTCTAAGCGGGGAGCCAGGATACAAACCCAGGCATGTGAGTGCACCCTGTGCCTTCCAGCCTTTGGGTATCAGCCCTGAGGTCTCCCCACCAGCACTGACATAGAGGGATGAGAATGGGATGGAGCTAGAGAGTGATGCTGACTCAAAGATGGCTCCTCGTGGGAGTGATGTCTCTGGGCCTGTCCCAGAGCTGGGGAGAGAGAGACGTGGAGGCAAGAGGGATGAATAAATACAAAATGGGTGATCCAATTTAGAAAAAAAAAAAAAAAAAAATCATTGCCGCCTGACCATGAGCAAGGTGCAGTGTTTTAAAATTTCCCTTTCAAGATAATTGCTGTAGACCTTAGAAAAATGAATCTAATAGAAGAAAAAAAGAAAGGCAAAGGGAGCCCAGTGATTTGAGTATGAATATGCAGGTTTAAAACATCTTTTCCCCTTGAAATACAACCTCTTACCTTGGTGGAAAGTCCTGTTACTTTAGCTTTGTCTCAACTCTCACTCTAAAGGCTGGCTGGGCTTGTCAGTCAAGACCATCTGTGCTGGAATGAGGTTTCTTCCAAAGACCTGATTTTGATTTTCTAGGAGCTACACCTGACCTCATAAACTTAAAGAGGAACGTCTTCATTTCTGCTTGCTGTCTCCCTTGCTGCCTAAATAGGTGCTTGCCTGATACGCTACAGGCAGGACAGCGGGAGGCGGGTTATTGGGTTTTCGGAGAAACCATTTCCTTTTCGTAGGACAGAGCTGCAGAACTCAGGAAGTGCAGAGGTTCAGCCAGAAGTGTTTGCGGGCTTTGCCTGAGGACAAAACATCCAGGCCAAAGTGAAGCATTTAGTCAAAGCCAGTGGGCCTCGTCTTTCCAACCCTTTCTTTGTTTTTTTCTCCTGCTCGAAAGTTGTCAGAATGAATTCACCTTTTGGTGGGTTTCCTTGTGGATATTTGTTTGGACTGACTGCATTCCTACACATGCTTGTCAGTAGTTTCAGCCCTTCTGGGACCTAATCTGGGCCCAACTGATAAATATTACAAGGCAGGTGCTATGAAGATGAGGAAATGGGAGAGAGTGGGCTTCACAGAAAATTATGAGAGCCCCTGACTTTAGAGGCTTCCATTCAAAGGAAGCCACCATCTAATGGTTAAACAGATCCATTTAAATAAATGCATAAAGTACAAGAGCGTCATCCCTCTTGTTGGAGCCGGACGATTAAATAAGACTGAATTAAAGACAGTATTATTGATAATAATGGTAAACGACACCACTTATTGAGCATCTATTATGTGCTTGGCAACATTATCATGTGGGAGGTACTAGCTCTATTTGGATGACAGAAAGCAGACCCTGTGAGGTGCCAAGGTCACAGAGCCAGTAGTGGCGGAGACGCAGGTCCGAGTCCACAGTCTGTGCTCATGTGGCCCCAGATGAAGAAAATGAGACACAGATTCTCATGATGTGACTTACTCATGCACGGGTGCAAAACTTGCTAATGAATAAAGCAAAATAATAATAAAATGAGCTGGTCTGAGGACCCGGGATTGTCTGGGTTCAAAACTGAGTTATAAATACAATTCCAATCATGAAACTCTCCGTATGACACTGGATAAGTTACTTAAACTCTCTGAGCCTCTACTTCTTCATCTCCAAAACGGGCTAATAATGCTTAGTTCATAGCATTGTCATGAGGCTTAAATTAGATACATCATGTTATGTGCTGAGCTCAGGACTTGGCATATGGTATATAATCGATAATGTTGGTTATTGTGCGGGTCTTCAGGGAGAGCAGGTGACTATTTGTCCAGGGGGCTTTTCTTGACCTTTTACACTCATGCCTCCACCTCCACTGTTCCCTGCAGGAGTCCTGCAGTGTCAGCCATTATGCTCTTACCCTGCTAACTCCCTTGCGGTCAGAGAAGCAGGTGGCTGGGGATGGAAGGCAGTCAGGACCTTGGCCAACATGCCAGTTGAAGGTCTTGGCCAATGGCCTTGACTTTGCCCGCGCTAACCTTTTTTATACCTGACAAGGCAAACTACCACGTGTCAGGTCAAGACAAGAACAGGGGTGCAAGGAGAGAGCCAGCCCATGAGATAGGAACAGGGGTAGGCCAGAGAGCCCCTGGAGGTCACTTTCAGCCCTATGATTTGATATTGGCATAAAACTGAATGCAATACATTTAACTCTGAGACATTCCCACCTCCCACCTGACCTCAGTCTGGGCAATCTTCCTGCTAGTCAAGAGGACAAACCATAAATCTCCCTGTGGATGGGAGTGCTGGGCGCACAATAAACTCTGCTGTCTCCCCTGTTTTCCAGAAAGGGTTGATGGATCCTTCCTTCAGCACGGTAGAATTTCAACAAGACAGAAATAGAAGCCAGAAAGCTTGTTCCTGTCAAAAGCTCTTAATATAATTATGAGAGTCAGGCCTCTCCATGTACCACCCCCCAGCCCACGAATAATTAGGGTGCGAGAGGCCGGGAACTGAATGGAGGTGGGGGAGGAGTGGGGAGAGACGCAGGCTGAGGACGTTGTGACTAGTGTAATGGCTGCTGCTTCTCTGCTGGGATGCCCCAGTCCTGCAGACTCCCTGGGAATTCTGCAGCTTCATAAAAGCTCCCCTTAGAGCTGGGATCATCCCAGGCAGCAAGTAGTGGCTCTAATAGTTTCAGCTGATGCGTTATGGCTGTCCCGCCTCAGCTCCCTTTACTGAAGGTTAGTTATATAGAGATATGCCCTCATCACCCGGGACATCCACAGTATATGCAGAAAGAAGGTGGCCGGGACACCTAGGCCATGGCACCAGGCTTTGGGTCTGATGGGGACCTCAGAGGCAGGCCCAGCCTGAGCATTCGGGCTACCAACGGGAAAGCAGAGTCCCTCTTCCCTGGAACATTTGCTTTCTGTTTAGTGTTTAATTTTCTCTCTGAAAGGCAATCTATGGAATGGGAAAAAAAAAAAAAAAAAAACACCAGTCCCTAAAGTCCATTCGAGCTTTCTCTTCTCCAGGTTAATTTCCATTCTAATGCTTATGTAGCTCCCGCCGCAGAGTTAGGCATTTGTTACTCTAATTCTGCTGCTATTCTCCCCAGGGTTTGCTGTTTTGTCAGGGGCTGTGCTGTTCCATTTCAGGGTTCGGAGCAGAATTACCGAGCTCAGTGTCAATGGAGGGGCTCAGGAGGGCCCAACACCCAGGGAAGGAGCTCTCCATGGATTCTTTCTTCCCAGCCCCAGAGGGAGGCTGTCCTTTAGCTCTGCTGGCTGCCACCTGGCCCCAGAGCATCTATTCTACACTGGTGGTAAGGTGACAGAGCCCTGTGCTCTGTACATGGAACAGACTTGGGTCCCCAGAACCTGCTCCTCCATGATTCTGCACTTGGCCTCTGTTGACAGCGGTGCTGGGTGCTGACGAGATCCTTAAGAGACACCTCAGCTTAGTCCTTAAAAGCACTCTCTTGAGTCAAGCTGGATTGCTTTGGTTTGAATCTAAGAACTGCCACTTACCAACTGTGTGACTCTGGACAAGTCCTTTAACTTCTCAGTTTCACCATCTATAAATTGGATACCAACAGTACAGGGCATTAAATGAGTTACCATTGTTGTTAGCATTAAATGAGTTTGTAATAGATATAAATTGCCTGTAAGAGTGTCGGGCACAGAGTCAGGGTCAGCGGGTGGTGGCTATAATCACTATTACTGTTATTAGTCCCTCCTGGGGCTGGCCTGGCTGCAGAGGCAAGAGCTGAGTGCCCAGCAGGATGTGCCCTGCATCTCAGCGGGGCAGGGTGTGAAGGGGTGGCCATCCCTGCTGGGTCCACCGGATGCTAACTGCTTGGTACTCACACACTGGATTCTCCTGGATCAATGGGTGCTTCCATCCCTTCACAGCCTCCATGTTATTCCTCCAACCCACCTGGCCTGGGGACTCCTGGAATGTGACTTCTTTGAGGAGGACAGGCAGGCAGGGAGGAAATCAGGAATTCTGATTCTCATCCTCAGAGGGATTCAGTCCCTAGGCCAAGGCCACTCAACTAGTAAGTGGCATTGCAGGAGCTCACACGCACGCTGGCTTGACTCCCAGGGGCGCACTTGCCTACGAGGCCCCTTGGGGTGATGACCCTTTGGCCAGGGGCCGCTCTGTGTCATTCCACGCTGTGGAGTGGTGAGTGGTATGAACGGTTCCAGCAGTGAATCTCTGAGAACAGAAGTGAGGCTGTTTCATAGCCTCCAAAGGCTGGAGACAGGCTCTGGTTCGAGACTCCCCAGGAGGGAGAAGCTGGCCTTCTTTGAAGGCCTCACCGAAAGAAGCGCCCAGCCTCTCAAGACACAGGGTGAGCTGTCACCTTCAGGCCGAGTGGAGGACAGAGCCTGAAATGCCTGGTCACCAGCTCCACCCTTATGGGACCCAAAGCCTCACCAATCTGTGCCCCTGCCTGCTGGCAAGGGCCGCCAGTATCAAACCAGGGCCTGCTCCCTGCTGCCCAAGGGCCCTCCCTTCCGGGCACGTGTGGATGAACCCTCGGCTCCCACCAAATGAGCTTCCGGGCAGGAGGATGGGCAGCTGTCTCTGTCAGCCACCCCTCTGCAATTTCCTAACTTGTTTTGTGGCACGCTGCCAGCTGCACAAGTTGGCTGCTACAAAGTGTAGAAATGCCAACTGGAAGTCCACGGGCACATCAGAGCTCCAGGCTGCACTGGGCCTCCAGCAAGCCGGGCAGGGTCCAGCGAACCCCAGGAGTGTGGATCTCCTGAGGGCTGTTCTCGGCCTTGGCGTGGTCAGACCTCCATGTCTGCAACCTGCCCCACCCTCGTCCCCCACCCCTGCCCAGGGCCTTCCGTGCTGAACTCCCCCTTCAAAGAGGCCAGGCCCTTTGCCTGCCTGTGATTCTCTCCCTGTTCAGGCTCTGGTTATATCACCTGGGGAACGGCTGTTTTAGGCTGTATTTCCCTAGATGAAGAGTATTCCAGCTTTGTTCCCAGCAGGCCAGGCAGCCCCAGGGTGATCTAAGGAGCTGCCAGTGTCTTTGGTGCTGGTCACTTCCCAGCCATAACCTCCTCAGGTCCTGGCTTCCCTGTGATCTTTATGTACCATTATCAACAAAGGTCAAGGATCTGGGCCCCTAAGGCATTCCCTTGTCAGTCTAGAGCCTTCACTGCCCCTGTTAAGAGATCCACCTTCCTGAGGCCCCTACAGAAGAGGAGGGGTGAAGTGTCGAGGACAGAGCCTGGCTTTGGGGCCAGATCTGGGCTCCAGGACTGGGATGTTGAGTAGCTCTGGGCAAGGGATAATTCTAGCACTCAGAATGCTCCCCACACAGTAAGGAGAGTGGTAGGTCCACTAACTGTCATTATGTGGGCAGCCCAGGCCACTGTGCACACTCAGTGTTCCTCAGATGCCTGTGAAACGGTTTCCCAGTAAGCCCATGACACCCAGGCTGCAGGTGAGCTTGGGCTCCTGCTGAAAGCAGGCTGCGCTTGTTTGGGAGAAAGGGAAAGGAATGGCCTTGAACCTGGCCGCCTCCGGAAAGAGGTAGCAACAAAATCCAGAGCTTCCCCGAGCAGAAGAGCTAAGCATTGAAGGGCATGTGCAAAAGAAAGTGAAGAGGAGATAGCAAGGGCGCCACACATAACTGGCCTATTTTGCCTTTTCGCACATCCTCAGGCAAATTCCAGATTCTGGAGTTTCCTGCCCAGCCACCCTCCGTAGACCCGGCCCCTCACTTTGCACCTCATTCATATCCCGTTGTTTCATGGTCTTGCTCTCTGCAGGGACAGCTGATTCCCAGCGCTGATCCTTGAGACTGCAAACACTTCTCTGTGTTGGGAGGATGGTCGGTAGAAACATGTGGTCTGCTCAAGGCATTCTGGAGGTTCTAAAGATTGGGAGTTCTATGCAAGAATTGGAGGAGGTGGACAGGCAGGACTTCCAGCTAACAAGCCTCCTGGGGCATTTTGGAATCCCACCACAGGCCTCTCTGTTGGCACAGTTGACGACCAGGAAAAAAAGTGAGCAGATGGACAGAGATGTGTGTGACTGAAAGATCAGGCTGTTAGGGCTTCCCTGGTGGCGCAGTGGTTGAGGGTCTGCCTGCCGATGCAGGGGACACGGGTTTGTGCCCCGGTCCGGGAAGATCCCACATGCCGCAGAGCAGCTGGGCCCGTGAGCCATGGCCGCTGAGCCTGCGCGTCCGGAGCCTGTGCTCCGCAACGGGAGAGGCCACGACAGTAAGAGGCCCGCATACCACCAAAAAAAAAAAAAAAAAAAAAAAAAAGTTCAGGCTGTTGGATGCATGGATTGGTCCTCTTGGATCTTGGGAGGTGTGCTGACTGGAAGAGCGGTTAGTCCCACAGAAGAGCCCGGCCCACCACGTGTCCGTCTGGCTGTGGGGCCCATACTGCCTCCCCCGGGGGCTGCCTGCATACAGAAAGGCAGGGAAGTCTCAAAGAACAAGATGCACGAGCTGGGCAGGCGTGCAGAAGCCAGCAGCACACCTGGGCTCCTTCCTGTCCTGGGGAAGCCTCACAAGGAAATAGTACCCCATACCCCAATTCTGTCCCATGAGAGTATCCCGAATACAATCACAGAAGAGGTATGTTGGTGCATTTTCAAGGCTACAGACATAAATTAGGCAATTTCCCTGATACCTGAACTGCCCCACATGACATTTGATTTAATTCTTCATAACCAGCATCAGTAACTACTGATCTCCAAAGCAATGAATGAAGCTGCCCAAGGTTCTGCCGAAGAAGGTGGGTCCTGCCCCAGCCAGAGGTGTTCTGAGCCGCCAGGTGCCACTTCCCAAGTCCCTCCCATCAGTTATTTCTGGCCTTACCTTATCGATCCTTTTAATAGCAGGCAGTAACAATTTATTAGCACTTTTCCAGAGTCTCTGCCTCCTGGCTAGATCTTTTGCCATCCTGAGAGCTGAAGTAATATTTCTTCTAAATCTAGCTCTCTTCAAGGCGCTACAGGAGGCCAGTCTGAGTGAGTCAGGGATGCTACAGAGAAGGAAGAATTAAGACATTTCCGTTTTCCCACTGCTTATTTATGAACAAATAAATCTGTTGGTTACAACTGAACAACTGTATGGGGCTGGGGGGGAGGGGACTACAGAGACCAGATGAAAACAAGCCATCTTTGATTTCCCTTTACAGAATTTAATTTTTTTAATTAAAAAAATTTTAATACAGTTTTAAATGTTACTTTCTACTTACAGTTATTACAGAATATTGGCTATATTCCCAGAGTTGTACAATACATCCTTGAGCCTACCTTACCCTCACTACCCCACCCCGGTTTGTCCCCCGCCCCGGTAATCACTAGCTTGTTCTCTCTGTGAGCTAATGTGATTTTTAAAAGTGGGTTAGGAGGTGAAAGGATAGCGCAGCTTGAGCCCGGTGGGTCGGGGGCTGGACTTCCCGGCAGCCCAGCCTCCCTGCCCTGCTCTTGTGACTCAAACTTTTGGTGCTTCAGTTTTACCCACGACCAAAACGAGGTAAGGAAGAAGCCACTTCCCTAACTCATGACCCACTAGTTGATTCCTGACTCCTCTCCTTCCGGAGAATAAAGAACTGCCGGGAAGGCGCTGGCGGCCCGCGCGCCGGCGGGGGCGCCCGACTGCGGGAAGGAGGAGAAATTCAGGAGTAACTGGGCCGCGGGGAAGGGGCCTCGGCAGCCCTTCTGGCTTCTCAGTTATCCTCCGGCCCCAGCCAGGAAGCAATCAGGGACTCGGCCTGGGCAGGCGTCTGGGGCCGTATAAACTCAAAGCGTTTATCCTGTTGGTGGCTGAAAGGAAAGAGGCCAAGAAGAGGCCAGGGACTAAGAAAGTCCCACTGCGGGACCAGCGCGGCAGCCTTTCGGGCTAGAGTTGCCTTTGGAACCAGAGTGACTGCTTCCCAGAGGAGGGACTGCTGGCCCAAGGCTGCTTCACCCTCCCCACGAAGACCCTGCTCTGTTACCCTCCAGTCCTCTGCCCAGCACCTCCCACTTCCCAGAGCCGACCCACACCCCAGGCACCAGCTCCCCGCGCGTGCGCAGTGCCAGCCCTCGCTCCCACTATCCACCTGACTCTAATTTGCCCAGTAACAGACGTCACTGTGCTCAGAGCAAAACAGAGGCTCAGAAAGGGTAAGTGACTTGTCCAAGACCACACAGCTAGTAACTGGCTTCAAATGCAGTCCATCTGCTTTATTGTTTACTTATTTTTCCAATATTAATACTATAGTAAGTTACTGACATATTGTTTTATATATAGAACTTTAATATATTTGTAAAATTATGCAATATATTAAATTATTTTATAGTTAATGACTATTTTTATTATTACTGTTGAGGTTTTATTTATTTTTCGAATAGGCAGTAGTGCATGCAATTCAAAATTCAAAATATACCAGAGGAATGCAGTGAAAAGTCCCCCACCTCAACCTTTGTCTTTCAGCCGCCCAGGTCCCTCCTCTCCTCAGGAGCAACCACAGTTAATCTGTTTCTTGTGTATCTTTTCAGAGACAGTGGAATAGATAAAGATCCAGGGGTCCACTAGCCAAAGAATGTAGGCAGCCTCTAGAAGCTGCAAAAAGCAAGGACACAGATTCTTCTCTGGGACCTCCAGAAGAGAAACAGCCCTACTGACCCCTTGATTTTAATCCCTTAAGACCCATTGCAGACTTCTGACCTCCAGGATAATAAGGGAATAAATCTGTGTTGTTTTAAGCCACTAAGTTTGTGACCATTTGTTACAACATCTATAGAAAACTAATATGAGTTCCCAGTTTATAACTTATCAAATAAATATTAGATTAAATATTTAAATAGGAATACCATACAAACAAGCAAACAAAACTTGTGGGGAGAGTAGATCTTATAATTATGGCTTCAAAGACAGAGTGAAAGCATTTGTAAAAACCTCTATATATTAAAAATAAACCTATAAATGAAATTATCATGCAAGTTACAAACTGGAAAAATATTTGAAATGTATAAAATGAACAGAGAATCATCTTGAATGGTAAAGTTAAGGGTGATTTTCTACAATGAATGTGCTTTCTTTTTTTTTTTGTAAAGAAGATACATATTTCAACAGAAAGAAATTGTTACTGTGGCAGTTGTATTAAAAATGAATGAGAGACAAGTATGGGCACTTCACCAAAGAAGATACAGGGATGGCAAATAAGTGTACGAAAAGACGCTCCACATCATTAGTCACTAGACAAATGCAAATTAAAACTACATTGATACACCACTGCACACCTATTAGAGTGGGTTAAATTAAAAAGACGGACCATATCAAGTGCTAACGAAGACATGAAGCCACTGGAGCTCTCACACTCTGCTGGAGAGGATGTAAAAGGGTGCAACCACATTAGAAAACTTGAAAGATAAGCAAACACCTACCATATGATGCAGCCGTACCACTCCTAGGTATTGTCCCCAAAGAAATGAAAGCATGTGCCCATACAAAGACTTATATGCAAATGTTTATAGCAGTTTTATTTTTAATAGCCCCAAAGTGGAAACAACCTGTTCATCAACAGGTTTCTGGATAAACAAATTGTAGTATATCCATACAGTGGAATGCTACTCAGCAGTAAAAAAGAATGAACCATTGATATCTGCAACAACATGGAGAGATGTCAGAATAATTACACTGCATGAAAAAAGACAGACCAAAGGAAAAAAAAAAAGACTACATACTGTATGGTTCCATCTATAAAATTCTAGAAAATACAAACTAATCTATAGAGGCAGAAAGCAGACCAGTGGTGGCCTGCGGATGGGGTGGAGTGGGGAGGGGAGAGAGGGAGGGGTCACAGTGGTGCACAGGGAAACTTCAGAAGGGGTGGGTATGTTTACTATCTTGCTTGTGATGATGGTCTCACAGGTGTACACAGACATTGAAACTCATCAAATTATGTACAGTTTGTTGTATGTCAATTATACCTTAATAAAGTGGTACTTGAAAATGGCTTGATCTTGGAAAGAGATGGAAGACACTTAAATACATAACACTAAGTGAAAGAAGCCAATCTGAAAAGGTTACATGCTCTATTATTCCAACTATATGACATTCTGGAAAAGGCAAAACCAATGGAGGCCATAAAAAGATCAGTGGTTGCCAAAGGTTGGTGGGGAGAGAAGGATCGACAGGCAGAGCCCAGAGGATTTTTAAGGCAGTGAAATTATTCTGTCCGACTGAGTATCCACTATAATGGTGGACACATTTGTCCAAACCCATTGAATTTACAACACCAAGAGTGATTTGTAATATAACCTATGGACTTTGGGTGGTTATGACGTGTCAATGTAGATTCATCAGTGGTGACAAATGTTCCGCTCTGGTGTGGGATGTCGATGGTGAGGGTGGCTTGTGCATGTGTGGGACAGGGTGTACGGGAGAAATCGCTGTACTGACTGCTCAACTTTGCTGCGAACCTAATACTGCTCTAAAAAGTAATGTTTCGTTTTAAAAAACTGGCTTGAACCATTGAATATGTTTTGTCTCTCTTATCAGGGCTCTGGGGGCAGAGGGGGTCAAGGGTTTGTTCAGGTGCTACAGATGCTACTGAGGACACAGATGCTTCCCATCTTTGGGCTGTGTCTCCCCTGTATGGTTCCATCTATAAAATTCTGTTCTCTCTGGCGCTCCCTTCCTCCACCCTCTACCCCAGAGGGTTCAGTGATGCTCACTGGGGTTCCCACAGGCCTTTCTATATAACTTCATTGTCCTTCTGTCTAGACTGCCTTATGCGGGCACATGTCTTAACGGCCAGACATGAGCTTCTAGAACCACTCCTCTTTCATTAGGGGTGTCCCGGGACCTAGCCCAGTTATGCCTGAAAAAGTGAACTTGAATAGGAAGAAAAGCCGATGGAACTAGAAGAGGTCCCGGAGAGGACACAAGGCAAAGGTGGGAGGTGGGAGGCAGTAGGCTAGGAGCGGTGTCAGTACAGAAGCGAGTACTAAACACTGGAAGACTTCAGTACTGAAGCAGCAGAAATGATCAAGATCTAGAATGACAAAGGACATCACTTGGATGAGCTCAGAAAAAACAGACCTGGGAATATCGCTCTGAAATTAAAAGGAGAGAGTTTTAGAACAGAGGTGGCACAGCTGGCCTCATGGGACAGAATTCTCTGTTCATTCAACATATGGAACTTATTATCTCGAAGAGGTCGTTCAGGGAAGACTACAACAATTTTTAAGAGGTTAAAAGCTACTAAATGGACAAAGTGACCTCCCTTGTTAATGCCAGACCCTGCAACCTCACAAAACACCCTCTCCCGATCTCAGTTCTCCAGAGGTATCTTTGGGCTGGATGAATCACGTGCGTCTGAAGTGAGCCTCAGATTATCCATGCTTCATGGCTCATCAGATCGAAAATCACCTCTGTGGGGCAGAGATTCCTGATAGCAGGAGAAAGAACAGGAGATGCTCCTGGCCCCAGGATTGTACAGTCATTGCAGCAGTGACTGACTCTTCCTTGCCGGCCATCCCAGGCAGAATTCCAGAGACGCCCTGGAAGTTCGGGCCCCAGTCTTAGTTGGCTGGTGGCCAGCAGGCCCTAGTATTGGAATCAGGATGGTTCCTGCATATCAGGACCATTGCTGTTCTGAAGCCGTTTATCTGCGGCGTACAGGCGCTCTCTAAAGGGTCCAGCCCACTAATTGCAGACTCAGAGTCTTTAAGGAACATTTGAGCTGAATCGGGTTGAGATTCTCCGCTGAGCATAGCTTTTCTATTCTCTAAGTTCACTGGAAGCACCGGAAAGAAATCTTGCAGCAATAGCTGAATCTCATTCACCTGCATCCCAGCCCCCCAGTCTTAAGCTGCACCCAGTTCTAGGTGTCTCTAAGGTCTAAACCCAATTGGCCATTTCCTCCCACTCCCAGCTTGGGCATTGCCAGGCGGCTCTCCAAACCCCTGGCTGCCCGTGATGGGCCCTGGGGTCTGGGGTCCTTCCCCCATCCCAGTACTTCTTCCAGCAGCTGCTCCCAGAGTTGCT